TACATAGAGAAATGAGCTCAAGTGAGACATCTTTTTTCTTGGTGTGTCTCTGCCGCACAATTGCCATGTGAAATATTGTTGATATAAAGGTGGTAAATTCGTGAAAACTGTTTACACAGAACAAAACGTTTTCTATATGAATATTATATTTGGCTTGTTTATAAGTTTACTAATAATATAAATGCAATAGCATTTAGGTCCAGATAAATCAAAGTTTTTATATTTCATGACATTTCAATATTGTAGGCATGTTTTATTACCTTTACGTTATGCAACACTAGGTAAATTCAAGTATTCACGTGGCACCACAAAAGCAACATGGCGTTTTCTTTTTTGTCATATGGACTTGTTTTTAATGCTCTCTGAATTAAAAAAGTGCTTTAAATAGTATATTGGATTGAAAAATGGTAAACAATATATGTGCTGTGAGTGGGTATGGGAAAGAATCGTACCTGGCTGTAGATTATCTTTTCACAGGTAAGTATGTCATCAGTAGAAACTAGGGTGACTATATTTTACGTATAGAGATGTAAAGTACGTACGTTCTATAAGCATATACCCTATTATTGCCGAATTAAGTACTAAATTTAAACTTGTTGTATCACTTAACACTTTGGTTATTCACTATTTGCAAGTCTACCTACATTAAGCAAGCATGTGGAGGCTCATAAATGGGTAACCTTTAATAATTTTATTGGTCAGTAGGCTTATCGTTTGATCGATCTTTTGCAAATATCTATTTACACACCAAACCAAACCAAATTATTACTATAATAAAAAATATACATTTTAATTTAAATTTCCAGTTTGCCATCGGATTTAGAGTTAAAAAAAAATGGTTGATACCTGGGAACTTACATGAAAGTTGTGTGGTTTGTACACTTCATTTCAAAACCAAAGATTACCGAACAGAGGCTCGAAAAAGGCTGAAATCAGAAGTGATTCCTTCAATCTTGCCAAAGGTACCTACCTAATATTAAAGCACTCATTTATAAACAACATTATATCGAAAATAATAAGTTAAAACAACAATTCATATTATAACTTATTTTTATGTACCTACCTAATTTCATTACAGATTTTTCCTGATAACAAAAAAAAATAATGTGTTAAACGCCTTTAGTTATACGCCTGACTAAAGTCCTTCATGTAAGAAGTTAAAACTTGATATTAATACTAGGCAAAAATCAAAAGAAGAGACATGAAGATGAAGATTAATAATTTAAAGTCACTTTTAGCAGTTTTAAAAGAAAATTGTAAAAATTATGAAAAGGTACAATCTGTCATAACAAACTGTTTCCCAAATATTCATCAGCAATTGAACAAAAATAAATCCAACAAAGGCATGAGATTCTCATAATAAGAATGTCAACTTATAGCAAAGGTCTCACATTCAAGGCCATTGGCACATCTCGCGCTACTTTACGCCATAAATTGCACAAAACAATTTTGTTAAGTAATGTTTAATTTTAAAATGTAAACAATACAGTCATAATAAAATATACTATTTTGATTGCGTTTTATTATTAGGTCTTCCCCCAGTGGGGGGAAGGGGGGAGGGCTGCCCATGAAATTGCTGATTTCCATAGTTTCAAAATTTATTATTGTTGAGTTGAGATTAAATAAAAATTTTTTCTGCTTCATATTAATATTATTCAATTTCAATAATCAATATTTTCTTTTAATGTCCAATGTATTCAGGTAAGAATGGTTACACGACTTAGAAAGACGTACAGTATGTGTTGTTTAGACGTACAGTAAGCATTCTAGTTGTACGTAGTACTTATTAATTCTATGTACTGTACCAATTAAGAAGGTATATATGTATTATGCAAATCACAGACACACAGAAGGATGACATGTGACACGTAAATAAATGTTTTATAAACATACGGCCTCTTTTGGGGTCTATAACTATTTTTTACAAAAGTTATAATTGTCAGAATTCAGATAAATTATTATAGTTTTTTATATAGTGAGATTAAGTTTTGAAGTTATTAGACACAGAGAGAGAGAGAGAGAGAGAGAATGTGCCATGACTTACCACGCCGGCTCAGTGCGAAAAATGTGGATATTAATAACGACTGCAGATGCAGCCGACACAACGACTTAAAATGCCTTCCGATGGACGGAGGAGCTCGAAATAATACATTTTTGGTCACCTATCCTATGACCGGTCATAAAGAAAGTAAAAGTAAAAGATAAAAACCGTATCGTAGACCGAGCGCACTAAGCACTGCGCGTTATTTATTTTTAATTTTCTATTGTAGGTATATCTCATTAGAGTAAGCGATGTGAGTATGTTGTTCAATTTATTTTATTCTGTTTCATGATCTGAAATATTGTAAAATATATGTACATATATAAGTAATTTTTTATTAACAAATACGTATTGGTTAAATTAAGGGCTCTGTATAAAATATTTGATTTTCAACAGGGATACATAACTGCAAAATTTTGAGAATTGTTCCCGAGCAGTGGCGAATTATTTAACTTTCAAGAGTAGTCTAGCCAATAAGGCTTTAGTGGAAATGAAAAATAAAATTAAAAAAAAACTCCACATTCTTCGAGAAACTTAAACTGAGCTTACCGAAAACCACCAGTGTGCCATTGATAAGGGTATCCAATATTCTAAGACTACTCGCTCAAAATGCTTTAGCAATAAAATCTTATTTGTTTTAAGGCCGATTTTTCAATCTTCAGATAAAAGTACCACTAGTTAACTGAAGAATAAAGTTATAGTCTAAAGAATAAGTCAGCTAATTGATTGTAAATTTTTCAATTTAATTAATACTTGTCTGTGAAAACGCTAACTTCACGAAGGTGAAACAAATATATAGAATTATTAACGAATGCTAGAAGAGAGCCGACTATTTCTTTGATTACTGAGACCTTACAATAAAAAAGGAATACATTTTTAATTGAGTTGCGTTTAAATCAGAAAAATAAATAATGTGTCATAAAACAATGTAACATAAAACTTAGTGCCTATGTTCTACCTTCATCTTTGAATATCTATATGAGATTGAAACTCAGAAACTCCTGAGTATGAATTCGGAGCATCGAAACTTAACACCGGAGCTTAAAAATACTCCGATTGCGATTTCGATCAAAGCCTTCGTGTTCTTATACATATTAGTGTCAAGTTTATTTCATCGCATGAAAAGCTTCATTAATTATACACGGGAAAATATTATATACACTAACGACAAGGATAAATAATAATGTAAGACATCAAAATTTTTAAGTTGAACTGTTAATCGAAGTCTTTAAGTCGTTTAGGTAAAAGCATTAAACATGCATTAAACAATTTTAAGTCTGCTCTGTGACATTTTTAATTATAGTCTATGAAATATGAATAATTGGAGTGTCGTGCCTTGTGCGTGTGTATATGCTTGGGACAATTTTCGACACCGTATTAGTATAATCTATCTTCCCCTTTTTTATTGTAATATCATTGGTTTAAGCCATTTTAACGTTAATAAAATTAATATACGTTAATAAAAGAGATCAAACTATTAAAATTAAGAATAATCATTGATTCTTTCTTAGTAGCTTTTATAAAAGCATATACATTGATGATCTTAATTGTGAGCACGTTCTGTCTTAGTAACAAAATACACATCGAGTAGAAAATATTCATTGCTATCAAATAATTCCAGGAGCAATTGTAAGGCAGCTTACTTTTCTCACATTAAAGCATTTCAATTCAATTAATTCATTTGTTGAACGTTATTACAATTATTTTTGATTGGTGTTCATTGGAGAGATAACTGACGTTAAAAAGCGACATAAGATAAACTTCTTAGTTACATTTTTACTACGAATAATTTTGTAAATTGATCAGCAATCTAATCAGGGACCTTAGAAATGCCGACAAACTCTGCCACGATTTTGTCCGCTATAGTTTAGGAGTCACGGTATACGACAGCCTTTATGCACATTTATAAGTTTATCATTTGAAGTGGCCACTTTATAACTGACCTAAAGTAATTTGGAAAGCAGTTTACTGCCCCCCAGTTGAAACTTAAACGGAATTTCAGCGCAGTTATGATGTTAAACGAGAATGCCATTGCCATTGACTATTATTTAACTTTCACTGAGTTTGACGAGTATAATGATATACTTAAATTAATTAATTTAAACAGGTGTACTAAGTCCATTAAAAAAAATCCATTTAATTCAAAAGTGGGTTCTTTATGATAACCGTAAAAGAAAAATGCAGGTCAAACGCCACAACAGTGTCCTAAAGCAAACCTTATCAATAAAAAGGTAATGGTAACTGTTTGGTGGTCGCAGCATGGTGTTATTCACTATAGTTTTCTCAGATCTGATCAAGCAATAACGGCAGATGTCTATTGTGCTAAACTCTGAACAATGTTGGCAAAACTAGCAGTAAAACAGCCCCGACTCATGAATCGATCTTCACCATTATTGCTCCATGACAACGCGAGACCTCATACAGCACGAGAAATCGTTTTGACCCTTCAAGAACTGCAGTTAGAAACCATTCGTCATCCTCCGCATTCGCCAGACTATGCTCCAACGAACTTCCACTTTTTTCGTGATTTGGACAATTATGTATGTACGTGGCAAGAAGTTTTCTTCCCAGGAGGCAGTACAAAGAGTTGTATCGGAAATGACCTTCCTATTAGAAGGCAGCAATTTATAGATAATAATGGTAACTATTTAAATTAAAAAAAAAAATGTTAAAAATTAAAAATAAACAATTATGATTTTCAGTACAAATCGGCAATTTCATACTTTAACCCCTATTACTTTAATGTCTTCGCATGCATCCGACACAATGTTACCAAGCAAGTACATTTGAATTTGTATCAGTTTGCTTGTACTTTGCAAGGTACAATTTCAAAGAAGCTAAAGATATAGGTACAGTGCATACTGATAGCTCCAATTATCACAGACGGTTCTCAAAAACTAGATTAACAGTATTGTTAATCTTGTATGCATTATTATGATACAATTAATACATTTGTATTGCGTATATGAAAGTAATAGAAAATTGTTAGAAATAATAAAAGGGTTGCAAAGAAAACAACAGTTTTAAAGTGTAAACATTTATGCTGCTTAGTAAAGTTTAAATACAGTCGTTTTATAATACACGTACTTTTTTATTATTCGATTCTGTAAGCCCCTTAAGTTCTAAAATAGATTCGTAAATGCCTCTTGGTATGTGTTAGTAGTGCATAGCCTTTTACTATAATTGTCTTTCCAACTTACGTGCAAACTTATTTCTACAGATGTTAAAAGGACGTTACAAGTTCTTCAGTTTTGTTCCTATTAAATTTATTTAAATAGCATGAACATTTGATTATGGTACATAAATCAGCCGCCATATTGTTTTTTTTTGGTCAGGCTAGTAAATACTATTTATTTAATAATCTGACCTGACTTTTGGTTTGTTATTGCCATTGTTAGATTAGGCTAGGTTAGATTCTCAATCGAAAATAAGAATATCGGTTTAAAAGTAATAATTTTTTTTTTTTACTTTTTGTACATGTAATTGCTCCAAAACTGTATTGAAATTAGAGATAAGTGATCGATTTTCAAAGGTATTGAGAGATAAAACAGACTTGTAAAATAAAAAAGTAATTGTAAATTAAATAAAAGTAAATGTATAACATAGTGCTATTCTGATATACAAGTATCGGATTCGACGACGAACATAGCGCTGTTATAGCATAGAGGTAAGGGCAATAAAAGTTTCATTTCATTGAAGTCCTTTAATGTCACTGCGCTGTACTCTATGTCGAGTTTGAGGCTGTTTTTTTTTTAAATAGAATAGCATAGCCTTAAGAAATACTTTGAACAATGGCTAGGTCTACTATAATATTTTTTTATCACATTTAAGAACGGCTTAGTTTTTTAATTAAAGAAAAAAAAAAAACAATGCGGCGACCAGTATATACGGTAGGCATGCCGATTCAAAATAAATCATTTATTTAATTATAATTAAGAAAATTATAAGTCTTTTTTTTTAATTATGCTATTCTTGAGATGTAGTTCACTTTTCAGAACATTCTAATGAAGATTTTATAAAAAATTAAAAAACATTTTTGTGACTAGTTTCACTTGACGAATAATAGTTTATAAATATTTATTACCTATTAAATTATAATTCCTACAACAAATATTAACTAAAATAATTATTATAGACAGTCAATAAGCTCAATATCGGTAACACCTGATACCTCTGGGAGCACGGAAGTGCTACCACCAAGTCGAGCAAAATAGTTAAAAGGGCACGGCCGTACTATCCTTTTTTGGGCTATTTTTGACTCTTACTTATTCTTTTTTTTAGGATAAATCAAATATTGATTATAAATATTGAAATTCCCAAAATATAATATGTGACTATGATTATTATAAAATATTAATACAATTGCAATTTGTGTGATGCAAAATGTCCATTACCTTACACAATCAACAGCATATTAGTTTATACGAATCTGTCAGATTTCTCTATTTGATTTTAAACCTTAATCCGTAGAAAGAAGTCAGTAAATTCGATTGCGGATCTTTTTTTTAAATCTGATGTAATTGTTGTGTGTATATATAATCAAGAGTTGAAAAAGGGTGATTGACACTTAAGTGCATATTTCAAGCGATAACAAAATGATATCGCGTGTGTAAGCAAAGTTATAAACACCTATCAAATAATATTATTAAGTCATCTCTAATGGAAACATATTATATTTAAAAACTTTTTGGTTCACATTTTGTCCTCTTCTATTTTGAATTTAAGAATTAGATGAATTAATATCATAATTAAAAGTTTTATAAAACGTACAAAAAAATTGACAATACATTTTTAAAGTATAATATTTGCTACAGAGAAAAAAAAAGAAAGTAAATAGAATAACTTTCCTAACGTTCTTAGCCTTAATGTATACGGACAGAAAGTGATATAATTTTACATAAAAAGGGTAAAATTTAAAGTTATTTTAATTAAATCACTAAGCATGCTTAGTAGTTTTAAAATATTTATTATTATTAACAATCAGTGTGTTTTAAAATCAAATGTGTGCAATTGAAACGCACACACATGCTCACGCACTGTCACACACATACACACAATAATTTTATAAAGCCGAATCAGCAGCAGGTAACATTGACTTCGATTTGGTTGACATTGGAATCAATCAAAATGCTATTAACATTCAATAATATATTGAACTTTTATTTAATTTGCTTCAATCCCATTTATTGAACGTACACACTGTACTAATAATATAGTTGAGTACTATAATTGTGTGAGAGTAATATAATTGTGATAATACGTACATTCACACTTTTGAAGGAAATTATAAATAAAATACTTAATAATAAAATTTGGTGGTGCATTAAAGTATGTAAATATTTACAACTCTATTAAGATATTTATGACTAACTTAAATATACTTTCCTCTACAATTAATTATAATACATAAAATGTATAGTAACTTTCAATGGCTTAAGCTCCCGAGCTTAATCAATAGGAATCTCATATGAACGTCAAGCATCATTCGGTATAATCTCATTACCAATAATAGAAAAATTGCCTTCGTTCGTATCATAACAATACGGCCGTGTTATATGTTCACGAAGTTGAAAAGCCTTTCATGGAAAATTTAACTTTAACGTTGCGAGCTAAATTTTGAAATGGCTCGTAGCATTCCGTCCAAAGTCTACAATATATTTGAGTTAGTTCTCTCTGAACGGTTGAGCAAATATCTCGTTTAATAGTTGCTGATATTCCTCCGCATTGTAAAGGTAATCCTCGTCGTCTAGTATTCCAGTCATGTTGTAGCTGAAAACAGGTTTGGTTATATTTAAAAAAAATATATTGTCAGATTTTTCAAAAGTAATTTAGTCTTGTCTGAACTCATTACATAATTTATATATACAATTATTAGCAGAAAACTATTTCACTAATAGTAAATCCAAAAATTACAAAAAAATTCCACGAAACGAAAAACATATTATAATTTTATTCAAAATAGGAAATTTGGCTAAAAAGCTTTTTGAGATCTTATTAAGGATATATTTCATCTTATTTTAAAAAGTTGATATGATACAAAAATACAAATCTAGCATTTACCGCATCTCATTTCTTTACAGTTTAATTTAGTATTTACATTATATTTCTTCATATACGTCATAATCTACAGTTAGTAATCCTCATCTTACCTAGGTACCTCTCTTTTCTTTCTGAAGCTTCCATTAGAAGTGGCTTCGATGCACAGAACTACGAAGTGATTATTGCATGCATGCCTTGAAATAAGTACAACAATGACAATAAATATATAGTCACATATTAGAATGTCGAAAAGATATACATTTTGATGTTAAACTTTGACCAACAAATAAGTTTATAAGCTAAGGTTCGATATAAACTTTTCATGAATAATAATTGTGCAGAGAATTAGGATAAGTTTTTCTTCAAAAATATCGTAGATATTTGTAAGTGGCTTCAAGAAATAGACTAAAATCATAAAATTTATATGTTCACAATAGGAGCAGTCCAGTTATAAAATTGTAATAACTTATAATATCAAGTCTAATATTATAAAAGATGAAAGACTCGATTGTTTTTTTGATTTAAGTAGGCGAAGTCGAGGAAAAAATAGATAGTAATATAAAAAATAATATCTTACCTCTCCTGGGAGAGTAATTTGTGGGAATAGAGGGAGGCAGCCATGCCTCTCCTAGACGCATCATTACTTTGCCACTCATCGCAAAAAGTATCTAATGCTCTTTCTCCACTAGCATGTGAACCATGCCATATCATTTTTTGTGGCCTAATAAAGAAAATTAGATAATTAACAGTTAATATGTTTTAGAAATAGAGGCGGTGATAGAAGACAATAATGATACTATTTTTGTTTGATTATTAAGTGTTAACTGCAAATCTCTAGGTATTAACAAACATGATTATGTTGTTGCTTTGAAAGTATTATAATATCTAGAAGTAACAATTAGAACACTTCATTTATTTCCGAATTGAATACTCCAATGATTCTCACAAAACTGTAAAAGCTGATATCATTTTAGTATTAAATTATAATCTATAACACCTCTTTGGTTTAACAGTTAAAAGAATGTTAAAATAGTTTTTGTGAACTCCGGTAAAAAGTAAAAGATTACCAGTGGGAATCAGTCATAATATTCTTTCCGTTGAAGCTGTAAATCCTTGGAGATCCAGTTATGACACCGCCATTTCCATCAAATATGTCAGAAAATGATTTGAACAAGACGTCACCTTGTGTATTAACAATTGGCAAATGTCTGTCCGAGTAACGCACGATTGTATCCAAGTTTTGGATTCTGAAAAAACGAATAAACTTACTAATAAAATATGTATTTACTTCTGCAGTTTTTTTGGCATGTTGAAGGACAAAATATTATAGTGCAGACTAGACATTTATGAGACTGTCTCAAAGCACTAGTTACTTTCTCTACTATTAACCAATATAGCGTTATAAAAAAATGTGAGTCCATAAAAAGCTTTTCTGACCCTGAAAGGAGCCGGTTGATTGCTGAATCTATGAAATTTTTATAATTCAAAATTTCAGAACATAGATATTTTAAGTGTTCATTAAATTTTAATACTCGTTCGTCTTTAAAAGCTCAAAGTCCCAAATTTTCGTAAAAATCACTCCTTTTCGAAGATTTAACTTAAAGTTTTTATTTGAGCGCGAGGGCGCAGCACTTTCTTATTTAAATCTACGATGTGTTTGTATGTTTTACACTGAGTCACAAAATAAAATACAGAAATTACAAACCTTCGGCTTTTAAAGAAAAAGAATTATTAAAATAGACTAAAAAATATTTCTGTCATAAAAAAAAATACAAATGCTTGAAATATTTATATACAAAATTTTCATAGATGGAATTACCTAAAATTTAAGTAATTTTCAGGGCGGGGAAAAGCCTTTTTAAAATGTCCCTATTTTTTATAAAATTCACAAATATTAATGAAAATTTATCGTCATTTAATTATATAAAACTAAATAGTCTCCTAAGTTTACCAACCTGCTTGTAAGGAACGCCGTGAAAGTTCCTCTCAGTCCAGCTCTCTTAGCCTGTCTGTAACACGCATAATTAGCGCGTCTAACTCCGTGCATATTACCCGTTAGAGGATCGTTGAGTGCTGCTAAACGAAGCTGTTACGACAAGGAAATTCCATCATTAAAATCGCAATATAACAAAACGAATTTTTCATAAGATTGTTTCAAGTGAATTTTTAGGGGTATCATGTTTTTGGAAACCAAAATAAGACTAAATGCGCACCTTAAATTATTAGGTTTGTTTGGGGTTCCTCTAAATAAACTGATTTATAAAGTTTATTAGCTGATTTAATATTGTTAAATATTAATTATATCTCATTATAAAATAATATTGATGTTTAGCTTATCCACTTTACTATTGTGATAAAAATGTTGAAAAAATTTTAATGCTTTTTTTCACCAGTTAATTGACGTGTGTGCAACTGACCGTGTATGTTTTTATTTAAGAAGCTCTCATGTTTTTTAAAATCGAAGGGTCTAAAATGGACGGATACGTTTTCTTATGTTTGATGTTCCTTTAAATGTTTTTATCGAAACATGATAAGTTTTGTTTTTATATCAAAATATCTGGAAGAATTTACACAAATAATTAAAATATGAAGAAATCAAAATATCAAATATGTATTTTGCTATTTCATATGATTTTTGTTATAATAAAAACCATATAAAATACTGCAAATTTTGTACACATAAGGTTGCACAAACGTCCATTAAGGTTAATGACGCCTGTAAGCTCTAATGAATGAATTATATGTATATACATAATCTATTGCTTTATTAAAAATTATCTGAAATTTTATATTAAGCACTTACACTGGGTCCGTTGGATGGGGGTGAATTGTCGACGAAATTAGAAATTGGTGACTCCCGTACGTGGACCAGACTCGCTGCAGGCATTGGAGGAGTTGCAGGCGGAGGTGTTGGTGCTACTTGTGCGGAGTGTGTAACTAGAGAACCCAGCTAATAAAAAAAATTGTAAATATAGTCTTTTCAACAATAATATACTTTATTTCGTACCAAGTAGGGTACAATTATCTAGAATAGATGTATTTTTTGTTAGAAGTAAAGTAGTAATTACATTAGAAAGATTCATAATTTAAATCGTTAGATTAGATTGTATAAGACGGGTATTAACGCGATAGATTTCGATAGTTAATATAGGTAGGTGAAAAACTTAACAGCTAATATAATGTTACGCGTAAGTTAAAATCGTTAGACCTGCCAATATCTTAACTATCAATCATCACATAGCATACACAATACTTTTTTGCTTCGGTCCATATTTATTTATTTCATATAAATTAATATTGTTGTATGTGTGTTGTTTCAACAATTATATTTGATTATTTTTCTTCCATTCAATGAAGATGCGTGATCTAAGTTCAAAATAATGTCAGGTTTCAAAAACTGTCAAATTACCTTTTAATACATTGCGGGTATAGTAAAAAAAAGTTGCGGCCATTTTATAGAATGTGGTGACCTGATACGTTGCTGGTGTGTTCTTAACACATAGAGGAATTTTAAAGTCTGAGTAAATTTTGGAATCCTTATTCCTAAAGTGATTTTATGGATACAAAATTAAAAGTGTTATTGTTATTAATTTTAAATAATATCCATACACTATAGATTGTTTTACAAACCTAACATTTAATATAGAAAAAAACTTACGGAAACATATTGCCATCCGGAGTTGACCTTAACTAATAGCGCTTGTTCTTCGACTACGTACGCTAAGGAGCCGACGGAACTCGCTGATGCCAACTGAAAAAGGGTTCATCTTTATGCTGCGTTTCTCATACCGGAACTTGCAATAAGGGAAATTATATCTCAAACAATAAACTACTAATTTGTCTACCTAAAAAATGTTAAGCCACGATGTCAGATTTCTTTTGTAAAAGTTGTAAAAGTTTTATCCTGTAGTATAAGTCATATGTCATAGTGCAAGCAGTTGCTAAAGTTTGTCTGAATTACATTTAAGTCGTCATCTAGTACGAACCCATTTTTTATGAGTTTTGTCGAGTTACGATGCAAAGACAACGCATGGACAATAAATGCCATGCATCGGGCAAGTCCATGGTCACAAAATCTGTGCACAAAATCGGCGAAGATTTGGTTCAGAGAGTTCAGGAATGACTGCGATCTTCAAGGCGATCCCGTTGAATGAATAGGTAGATGTGTAATTCTGCAGTCATTGTACGATAGAAAAACATTTGCATGAATTGGGAAGATTTGAACAAAGATAATCTCCAATAGATACAGCATGATGTCTATTTTGTTAAATAAATAAAGATCTTAGCAGTGGCAGAGGTGGCGGGCGAGGCTATTGGCTAGTACACGTATTCGAGTAGTGATGGGAATCATAATGCGGTAAGGGCATGTCGATAATTGATCAATATTATATGTTAGTATTAGATGTCATTAAAAATGTATTTTATTAAATTTATTTTTATTTAATATACAATTTATAGCACTATAACCTAATTGCTGGACAAGGCATCCAACGACAAGGCTTCAGTTAGCGCGATCATTCAATCGCTAACTTTCAATCAGTCGATGAGAATAACTTTCAAAAAATCTATTTTGTACATAGTAATACGTTAAAATAGGTTGTAAAAAAAAAAATATGAGAACAAAATCACATTTTAGATATTTAATTCCAAACAAACGTAATTTTATAACCCCAATAGAAAAACATCTAAGTTTAAAAATAACCATTTTCGCATTTCTTGTATCACTGGTTTACCTGCTATACTTTCTAATTTAAAGCTATGATAAAATGACTGAGACAGAAAACATATACAGAAATGAGTGTAGCGCCACTGCGCTCATATAAAATCATTAAGTTAAATCTTCAAAACGGGGTTAATTTTGACGAAAAATGCAAAAGTTACAAACTTTGAACTTTTCAACGACGAACAAGTACATATTTAAATAGGATGAGCATTATTATTAATGAAATCTAAAACTACATATGTTCTGAAATATCTTAAACTAGTTATCATAGGTAATGTAAGTACATGACAAATTGTTTACTAATCTCGAAGTATTTTTGTATACTAATTTGCGCACTGATTACAATTTTTTCCTGTAATAGTAACAATACCAATCAATCGTATGGAAATATCGATGTAGATTATACCTAAAAAAAAACATGCAGTAGCAATACTAGTGTAACACGTGTCGTTGTCTGTATTAAATAAATATACTTATTTTGTAATGAGGGAAAGGGATGGGTTTCAAGAAGACATTAATGCGTGCGCATTTTTATGAAGTTACTTTTAATTACTATAACTTGAACTCCGCGAGAAAAAAATACAAATATATTTTTTATTACTGGTGAAAAGTTATAACATCTTTCTTGCAATTAGATGTTCTGTTATTTTACCTAATAACCACTTTATTATAAAGAAAAGTCTTCTCCTCAAAGTATATATTCAAAGATCGAAGACTTGTTCGTAACCGAGGATTCGCATACGCGTATTATTCTTTTGTTAAAACCATCTATGCAGAATCATAGATGCTTGGCTACAGCTTACTGTCTTTCATGCGGCATCTATTGGAGGTTATCTATGGATTTCAATAACGGTTTTTGGATACCCCATGAGATGTCGTCATAAATGACCTACAATACAAAATTGGATTGAAACGCCTTTAGGAATCTCTGAAACGATTATTTTGTTGATCTGATCAGTGTAGTCCCAACAACTCCCTAAATATTATTTCGTTATAACATTTTCATTTATACTGTTGATATTTCAAAAATGATGCAGAAACGTGCTTTGCGAACCAGTAGTATTTCATCAGAGAGTGAATATTTGATAAAATAGAAATACAGAGTTTTAACAAATTCAGTGTTACTAAATGTAAAAGATTTGCTGATTGTTAGTTAATAAGCAAAACTGTATATTATTATCATCGCTCATGCTTTAGTCAGGTACTTACTTATTGAGATCATATAGTAGACTGATGATAATTATAAAAAGTCTCATAATAATCATTTTCCAGATACCTTTAACATTTCTTCTGTAGTTTGGAATACAGCAGCCCCTGGTATAGTTTTACTGGTATTTGAGTCGTCAGCATGTGCGCTCGTCCCATGGCTAGGATGTGCGAATACTGCGGTAGAAATTTGTGTCTAATAATGGAGTATACGATAACAAAAAATTATGCTAAATATAAATAACTGTTAACAAAATTCTAAAAATTTGACAACATCACATTAGTATAATGCTTCGATCCTAACCAAGTTAGACTAAGCCCTTTTGTTGTGGAATTTGACACAGTGAAAGGACCAGATCACTCAGATTCGTAACTATATATCAAAAATATAATTTTTAACATTTATCCAACGAAGAACCTCAGAAATGTCAAAAATGAAACCGAGACACTCTCCGAAGACACTCGTTTTCGGAGATCGCTCTAAATCACAAAAATACACAAAAGAGTAAAAAAGCAATCAAACAAGTTATTTCAACAAAAGTTAAAAAGAACTTGTAAGTATTGTTTGAATTTACGGTTATGTGCGAAAAGAATCCGTAGTTTTATATTGAATTGATATTTTAAGCCCACTTACCTCCTCTTTCTTTTTCTTTGAGATCTTTCAATTCTCTTAAAGCCTTAAGCTCGTCGAGTGGGCTCTTCATGACTGCAGCCCAGCAGCGTGAAATTTATATTAAATGCATACTTTACATAACAGTTTATTAGTACTTCATTTGCTTTCTAGAGATCGGTTATAATTGTCACATGGTGGACAACTTTTTTCGCTCGATGATATTTTGTTTGGTCAGCTTTGAATGAGCGAACTAAGTAAGCTGGCCGTATTTTAAACTTGGTAACTCTTTAAATTTTTTAAAAATAAATTAATAGCGCAGTCATAATCTCACCTGGCCGACCATAAATTTTGGTATTCCCATGTATATGTTCTTCGTGGTAATTAGACCCAGGTTCTCCTTTAGGGCCAACTATGGATGCCCCTGGAGTACCTGGAGGCCCTGGCGGTCCAGGTGGACCTGGAGGGCCTGGAATGTAGCGTACTGGTTCTGATACTAATGCCGGTGGTCCTGGTGGTCCTGGTGGACCTTTATCTCCTGGTAAGCCTGGGATGCCATCATAACCACGATCCCCCTTTTCTCCTTTTAGCTGCAAAGAAAGAGTTATAATAATCTTTATCGGTTAGTATGACACTCAGAGACTTGCTTTGTTATATCAGATGTCTCAGGGTCGATATGGCTTGGTGAATTATGTAAAGGTTTTGATTTTATAATACCCCCATTACCCCAAAGATATTAAATAAGACACTTATTTTTTATTAACTTTGGGGTAAAGGGATATAACTATTATGTGAGGCTAAATATTATTACCCCCTTTTAAGGTTCGTGCCAATCTGAAAGAAGTTCTGTCAAGTATATCACGGAAGTAAGCATTAGTTCTTCCTTCAAGTGTGCAATGTTGAGTGTTATTCCATGTATTTGTCAGAATCAAAGTTCTACAACCGACGAAACGCAAAGCATCATGCGTCAGATATGTCGGTATCCTTACGAACCTCATGCGGTTTATTTGTATGAGTGCATGAATATATTATACTAGCTTTAAACCGTGGTTTCGCTCACGTGGTCCGAGGGTACTGTGTGCTCACTGGACTATTAAGCTAATCTTAATTAAAAATCTGCCATCTAGAATGTGACTCAAACGAATTGGAAGCTTGATAAGTCACGAATAATAAATTAGATCGAAAACCGGCCATTCCACGCCCCTAATATTTTTGAAAGACCTATCCAACGATACCCCACGCTAGAGGTGATAATTTTTTCTTTCATCCTGTAGCATGTAACTAAAAAAAATTCCGGGGATGTAACCGGAAAATTTTTGCTGATTGCTGCTCTTCTCCTATTAGACATAACTTGATGTTATATAGCTTATAGCACTCCTCAATAAATGGACTATTCAATACAAAAATAAACAATTCGTTCCAGTAGTTCCCGAGACTATAGAGTTCAACCAAACAAACTCTTCAACTTTATTAATAGTCTAGATATGTCATGATTAAAAACTATAATTAATAAATAACCAGCCAAGAATTATTCGACATACACATACACACGCACTGGAGAAAAACTAAATATATTCTATTGTCTTACTAAACGCAAAAATAATATAGAAAACGGTTTCAATTATTGAAACCACAACAGAATCATCGACTGACTTTGTATAGATTGTAATAAGTCATATTAACAGCAATGTGTTAATTGATTTCACCCCCTCTACTTAAGGAAAAGGTATGGAAAATGAGCAGTATTAGTGACATTATTATTTGAAATTCCAATAAAGTAAACTACGAAGACTAGTGCAGCAATGAGTGTGGAGGAAACGAAAGAGGAAATAATGAGTGTCGTGTGAATCATTGGAAAAGAGGCACGAGCTTAGAGCATGAAATGGAGCTCATTGAATTATATATAAAAACGTATACGAACATACAGTTCAGCTTCTCGTGAGGTATTACTAAATATTTGAAGCGATTATATTAAAATTCGCTATAACTATTTAGATAAGAATTTAGATACTTTATCATTTACAATATGTAACCATTTCAAAGGTCACTATTAAAATAATCAACGATTATATTATTTACTGCGAATAATAAATCTCCTTATTATTATCCAATATCCACGCAGTCATGGTAGTCGCAGGTTAATAACGTCGCACTAGCGTCCTGTCAATTCGATTGTACAATCTCACTCCTAAGACACTGGCAATATTAGAAACATTTTTTTTTCTAGTGGTATATCCTTTCCTTTGAATGAAGTCAAACAGGTAGAACGGCTGACCCAGTATACTACTGATATTATATCATCTTTACCCAGTAATATACGTGTAGGTTTGTGTAAAGCTTTATTATTATTTAAGATTATGATATACAATTTGTTACAACAGAATAACATAACAGTTCAACTGTATACCTATAGTTCTTTTCTATGACTAAATGTTTACAAAATACTTCATGCTTCCTTGCGCTAAATAATTGATGCTAATACTCTTATGCAAGAGTACCGTACAATATTCACAGTAAAGATCAGTAGGGCAATTCTGCTAATGTTAATGTAAGGAAATTCAATAACGCTTCAACTACAACATTTTTCTAGTTTTTGTTATGTACTAGATCACAAATTATTAAAAATATATCTGTCACCATTGATTTGTGAGGAAGACATTGCACTCATGATATCGGACATAGATTATTAGAGTCGTTGAGATTCAGAATTCAGAACAGGTTAGCAGCAGTTGTATCATAACTAACATAGCTCTTAAACCACGAACATGACGGTTCTACGCGACATGTTTCATAACAAGTTATCTCACTAACTTAAATATTTGATAATAACTTTTAACAAACAGTCTTTGTTTTTAATAACTATATCTACTAATGTGTTAGAATGATAAGTAAATTATGATTAAATTTAAATGATGATCAGTTTATACTTATCAGCGTAGACCAATATACGATACTGAGGTTAAATATCGTAATCTACACGTGTTTTTTTTTGTCACGATAATTTAGTTATGTCTCCGTAAATAACCAAACGTAAAAAATTTAATATATATATATGCAAACAAAACAACAAACATTAATTATAAAATAATGAAAAATATAAAGTGAAGGAAGATGTATATGGAAATGACGACCTCCACGATTGGGTGCCTCATATTATATTTGTTTTTATGTTGTTTACGATGGAGGTTATTGTTATATACACTTGACTACAGAACATTTTTTTATGTTAGTAAGCAATATTAATATAATATGTTATCTAGGAGTGTATCTCCGACTTTTTGTAATGAAACATCGTTACAAATATAACCAAATACATATAATAGGTAATATTTTAAAATACGTATTTTGCGAAATTCGAATAAATAATATTACGTGTTGAATTATCTCTGCATAATAAGGCCCTTTAATAGTTCGTCCGCACTCAATAATTATGAGGATAGGCCAGTTCGGATCGAGGTAACAAGCAATATTATCGTGTGTCTAGTTGTCGTGTTATCTTGTGCTTACTATGATTTATTTATTTTTGTTTGGAATTCTTATAATATTTTTATATTATTATGGAACAAGAACATTTGATTATTGGGAGAAAAAGGGAGTTAAACACGAAAAACCAGTGCCATTCGCAGGAAATAATCTTAGACAATTCTTGCAAAAAGCAAGTATGGCAATGATGGCTACAGAAACATACAAAAAATACCCTAATGAGAGAGTCGTGGGATTCTATAAAGGCACTAGTCCAGAATTGGTCATAAGAGATCCAGAATTGGCGAAACGCATATTGGTTACAGACTTTCAACATTTTTACGCGAGAGGTTTTAATCCCCACAAGACCGTTATAGAGCCACTAATGAAAAATATTTTTTTCGCTGACGGAGACCTTTGGCGGCTAGTAAGACACAGATTTACCCCTGCTTTTAGCACAGGTAAACTTAAGGCAATGTTTCCTCTTATTACAAAGAGAGCAGAAAAGCTCCAACTTATTACTGAACAAATTATTAATAGAGATTATTACGACGCTCGTGAATTAATGGCGAGATACACGACAGATTTTATAGGTGAATGTGGTTTCGGTATTAACATGGACTCATTAAGTGATGAAAACTCTCAATTCAGAAGACTCGGTAAAAGAATTTTTCATAGAAATTTTAGAGATGCTTTCGTTGCTGCACTTAAATTGATATTCCCTGAATTATTTAAGCATTGGAGATTTTTAGATCTTGAATTAGAAACTAATATGTTGCACTTATTTAGATCTGTTGCAAAAGAAAGAAATTATAAACCTTCAGGAAGAAATGACTTTATCGATTTAATGTTAGAACTAAAGGAAAAGGGTGATTTGACTGGAGAATCTATTGAGAAGAAAAAACCAAATGGGGATCCTGAAATTGTGACAATAGAGTTGAGTGAATTGTTGATGACAGCCCAAATGTTTGTGTTCTTTGGTGCTGGCTTCGAAACTTCATCTACTGCTTCTAGTTATACATTGCATCAATTAGCTTTCAATCCAGATTGCCAAGAAAAAGTTCAAAACGAAATCGATATGGTATTAGAAAAATACAACAACGTTATAACTTATGAGGCTGTCAAAGAAATGAATTATTTAGAAATGGTATTCTACGAGGCCATGAGAATGTATCCCTCAGTCGCATATTTGATAAGGATGTGCACGTCTCAGGAATACACTTTCCCAGAAATTGATTTGACAATAGACAAAGATGTGAAAGTTGTGATCCCTATCCAAGCAATACATATGGACGAAAAGTATTTCCGAGAACCAAGGAAGTTTGATCCCGAAAGATTTAGTTTTGGTGCCAAAGAAGACATTAAGAATTTTGTATTTTTACCTTTTGGAGAAGGGCCCAGAGCTTGTGTCGGTGAGTGAATTTAATATAAACATTGTTTTGATTACAAGTCGATATTTTATGTAATTAAGTTGATTTATTGTAATAAACATTGATGATATAACTTTATCTCACTCACGTCCGTTAGGATTATTATTTGTAGCAATATTACTGATACAAACTTTCAAATTGGATCATATATTAGAGCTTAAAGTCGTCAACTAAAAAGATCGTATTTGCAATTAAGTTTCTCGTTAGTGTATATATTATTTGATTTTAACTCGTGAGTATTTTACGGATAATAAAATAAATAAATGACATGAATATCACAATTAGAGATTATTGATCTATGAATTAACTATTACTTTTACCCTCGACTTTCTCTGAGTGAGAATTAAAAAGTAATATGAAGGTGTAAAATTTTCCCAAAAGATAACGTACTACATATATTGATCTTTTATGGATTAAAAAAGTAGATGTAATCTTACTTTATTTCATCTTAATTATGTTTATATTGCAAAATGATATTTTAATTAAATAAAAATATATCACACGTAAGATAATACTATTAGTTTTAGGTTGAAGAACTGATGCAATATATATAATTATTATTTTTGGATTAATTAAATATAATCTCAAGTATATAATTTGATGAAAACGAAAACACATACATGACTTTAAAACAAATACCACTGTTTTAACTTGATATAATAACACACTTTTTTATTAGATATAATCGAGAAAAGAAAAGCAACTGGTGACTTTGCATCAAAATCCCTACTTGTTCTTTTATTGAAATGTACACAGTTGATTTAATAAAACAGCTAAAAGAAAACAATTACCGTTTAAAGACAATAAAGTCTGCAAATGATAAGAAACGTTAAAAAATATAAAAAAAAAACTAATAAATTCACGGGTTTTGAAAGATTTCAATCTTTCAAAAGTTGCAATACTAACCACTGTTGTAGTAATTTTATATCTCATACGTTACATCCTATAGGAACAGAGATTTTCCGATCTTTCTTTTTCTCCATAAATATTGGTCACTAAACAACGTATTTTGTTTTTATTTGCTTTATATTTATTTATTGTCACAAGTAACCTATAAGCGCATTTTAAAAATCAACAAAATATAATTTACCTACTATATACAAAGTGTACAATAAGTTTCCTGATGTTATCATAGCTATATACAAAATTTTAAATGTAGTTTGACAGGATAAAAACGAGATTTTGAAAACAGTATTGTGAAGTCAAAATTAATTAATTGTACAAACGTCTATTAAGGTTTAAAGCTCTAAAAGTGTTCTTAATTTTAAAATTTATATTGATCATTTGTTGATTAATGACAATTTTAATGGAAGTTTAAGAAACTGGGTGTTATTATAGTTTTGAGAGAATTGTCACAACTATAAGAAATATCTTTTAAATGCATTTGCAGGAGCGAGATTAGGACAGATGCAATCAATGGCTGGCATAGCGGCCGTTCTTCAGAAATATACGGTAGAACCAGCTGGCTGTAGTGTACGGAACCCACCACCGGATCCCGCCGGAATCGTATCAGAGGGTTTCGTAGGCGGATTGCCTCTAAAATTCAAGAGACGTAGTCCACCAAACTTATGGGTTATCGACTAACCCCAAATGAGATCCCCCTATCGAAAATGGGTAGAAATGCTTCGACAATGATTGTATAATATTTGATAAGTAGTATTATTTTTTTTTTATTATTTAGATTGTTAATGTCTTAGATTATAAATGTTTGTTTAGCATATTACTGTTGGTATTTGTTCAATTTACCCAGTTACTCAATGCTCACTAATAAAAGTTAAAAAGTTATAGGTTTGATACTGTCATTTACATCAAAAATGAGTTATGCTTCTTAGTACCAATATAATAGTTAATAGCACCATTAACTCTACAGAAGGTCGGATTTCTATAAAAGACTTTAATTTAACCCTAACTAAACAGTAATGTTTCAAATTGATTGCAAAAATATGTCCATGAGACATGTAGTAAATTAATAGCTTAAGTATTTGATTAGAACATAAAACGGGTTATTTAATAAGACCGGTTATACAAATATTAAAATTGATTTTGATAGCAGTATCACCTGGAGTGCTGCGTATGTTTAATAAAAAAACTTAGTCGGAGATTTTTGTAACACCAAACTTACCATTGCAATATCCAACAGATTGATGCCAGGATCTCCTTTTTCTCCTTTAGGCCCGGAGGGTCCAGGTGTTCCAGGTGGCCCTAAAGTTCCAGGGCGGCCCTGAAATGTAACTTTTGTTGAAAATTATTTAAAGTAAATAAACAAGTTTACGGTACTTATGATATGTTAATAGAAGCTATTACGGATACGAATAGATATACAGAAAATTATAATTGGAAAGAATATTTTATATTGACTTACAAATTACTTTCAATAAATTTTCAGTTCTAATTCAAGTATCAATTCTAAATACTCGAGATATGTACTCTCTAATTCTCACCTTAGAATTCTTTGGAAGGCATAAAAAAACAATAGCATTAGTTCTTATGTTCATATTAATAGATAAATTTCATCAGATTAAAGCTTATATTTGATTAGAGAAGTTTGTCCTTATATACAGTATCGTGACATATTGTCGTCTTTTAGACAACTATTACAATTTTTGACTTGATTCTTTTAAGTTAAATTGATTTTATATCTATTACAACTGTGTCACTGATGAATAAACTACTCAAAGATTGCTTTTTATTACTTTGTTTGCTATCATTGCAAAACTGTTTAGCCAATCGTGCCAAAATTGTGAGATCCAAAGAAGGGTAAATAATATTTTTTATTAAAATATCAGTTCAGTATACTCTGAAGACTAAAAACTAGGGGAAAGGATGGCAACATGGAAGAGCTCACTTTGTGTAAATAGATAGAAATATACTTGGCTCAAGTCTCTTATTTAAATTGTTTATAAAAGGCAATTAATGAAAACAAATTTCTATTTAACAATAACTACATTCTAGTCAAAAACGAGTTATAACTCGTAAAGTCAAACCCTGAGAAATTATTTTATGTAAATATTTCTCTAGCTGAGGGCAAAATGGAAAGATTAAAGGCAATTTGGAATATATATATATATATATGTCGCAGGATAGTTTAATAATAATAATAGTTAATTCGTTGTTTTTTTACATGTTTTTTACTTTAATTGAATCTATTCTTTAAAGTATAAATACTTGTATCAGGGGAAACCCGCTCTTTTACAGTGTAGTTTGTAACGAATAAAAATTAAAACAAGCTTAGAGTGTGAAGCGTTGTGTGTGTGTGTGTGTGTGTGTGTGTGTGGTGTGTGTGTGTGTGTGTGTGTGTGTGTGTGTGTGTGTGTGTGTGTGTGTGTGTGTGTGTGTGTGTGTGTGTGTGTGTGTGTGTGAGGAATAATGCTTAATAATTACTTCATGTTTTCTAATATATGTGAGTGATCTCTGTATCTTCATATGTGAGTGATTTGAGCCATAATGTTACTTTTCGTTTACATTCTTTCATATTTTTATTTGTCTGTTTATTATATTATATAGCCTTACTGCTTGTATAAAGAATTGTCTTGAGGCGAATGTTGTTCTGGTTTCTTTGATTAATGACAGTAAAGGGATTACGTTTATATCTCCATCATCTTTACGAAGATCGTTTGATTTAGTTTCTTGTCTTTAATATTTCTATACAAACAAATAAATAACAAATTATACAAACAAATATATATATATATATATATATATATATATATATATATATATATATATATATATAGCTTAACGAATATTTTGATTTAGTTATTGTACGAGTATCAATCTGTACACTTGATTTTATAGTATATATTTATTCTCAAAACGAAATAGTCGTATTTCTTACTTATCTTTAGCAACCAAAGCAGAGATATCTGACGTTTTTCAAATACCTATATTAATTTTTTTTTTTAATATTTTAATAAATACATAGCTTGTATTTTTTTACTCGGACTAAATATAGTTCGTAAATCACACTCAGACACGTGTCTCTCTGTATGTAGCAGCACCCGCGATAGATTACATATTTTGTCTATTTTCCATTTTACCCACGCTTTCCTCTTGCTCTCTCTTTATAGTATACCTAATAAAGACATTAAATTGTTGAACTAACGGATGTTGATATTTGAAATATCCTGATACCTATATAACATTATACTAGTTTTCCGCCAGCGGCTTCGCCCACGTGTGTATATACTCGTTAAATGTCTATTTGAACCTGTTGTTGAAAGTCGCATAAAAATCTGAGAATAGAGACGGTGAAAACTTTTTATACTGTGTATAGATTTAAATTTATTATACCAAAAAAAAAAACGTGCGCAGATTAGGCCTAACAAAAACAAATTCAAGGTTACTTCTTTATTTTTTACCTATACAAATTAATTATTTAAACAAACCGCTTCTCAAGTGCGGGCATGTCAATTCATTTACATATTTTTGTTTATTAATAAATTACAGATTGACGAACGGCGACAAATCAAAATAAATCAATTATTATCTTATTAGCAGAGTCGCCTTTGTTTTCAATAATTCTTTTATATCTATATTTTATAAAGTTTTCACTAATCTAGAGTGATAAATAGATCAATAAACAGAAATTATTACTAATTATCGTTTTTTTCATTGTTACATCGAAATATAATTTCTAACAATTAATTAATTCACATAATGTTACTCTGTGTATGCTACTATTGTAAACTAATACATAAATATTAAGTCTTAACCTATCGCAACACAACCGGAACCAGTTTGAGATAACTGATTAGTTTATTTATAGATTTTATTTATCAGTATGTAGATTGTGTTGACCATGATATGGCAACATAAATACATAACTTTGTCGCACATTTCAACTCTTACAGCGAGCGCGCTGTTGCCTCTAGTACATAATAATTCTGGAATATTTATAATCTGAATCTTGGAAACGGCTGCAACGATTTTCATAAAATTTTATATGCGGTGAATCGATCGAATTAGGTTTTAATTAAAAAAAAAAATCTTCGTTCAAATAAAATACAAAGCGAAACTTTATCCAATTATAATAATTGGAGCTATGACGATTTTACCATAGACGGTAACTCGATTGACAAATAGCTAATCCAAAAGCCAAGTGTGAGTCGGAGTAGCGCGTGAAGGGTTCCCTACCATTATCAATAAAAAATCAAAATAAATCACAAACGTTGTATGGGACCCCCCTTTAAATATTTATTTTATTCTGTTTTTAGGATTTGTCTTTATAGCAATAACATTAATAAGTTGTCTGTGAAAATTTCATGGGTCTAATAACAGACTAACAGATGGATATCAGAGAATTAGTAATAAAATTTATAGTCTGTCTCCGGATCCTTAAAATATACTGATTTCTAATGATTACAATTTTGTTTTGTTAGCGGATTTTTATTCAAATATACGTCCGAGCGTTATTATTTATGTACGAGTAAATATTGTATGTATTTGATAACCTTGCCTCAAGGTCTCAAACTAGTTGGTTTAAATATAAAAACGGTGCTATTTGAGAAACCAAACAATTTCATTTATTTTAATATTTAAAATTATCGCTCCATAGTTTAAATAGGTAGTTATGATAATTCCGGGATTCTAATAATAATTTGTTGTCGACGTTTAGCTTTCTGAAACGTGATGTCACATGATGCTCCGGCGGCATATATAAACATCCTACAGTTAAATATCACATATTTGCTTAGCTTACTTACCATCCAACCGGGCATGCCCATTTCACCTTTATCGCCTGCTTTTCCTGGAGGACCTGGTAATCCTGGTAGCCCTTGCAATCCCCTAGGGCCTTGAGGCCCAGGTCGACCTCTTCTACCTCTAAGACCCGGTTCACCTTTATCGCCCTAATTTTAAGAAAAAGAAAATAATATTATTTATGTATTTTGAAAATTTTATCGCCAGCTACAATTAATTCTTACCTTTATTGTGATTATGTCTGTCCCAGGTGACGTCATACTGATAGGTCCAGGCGGGCCTCTTTCACCCCGTTCGCCTTTCAAACCCGGAGTACCAGGAGGGCCTGTGAGCCCTGGTAGTCCTGATGGGCCAATATCTCCTCTCTCACCAGACTTGCCGTCTTTCCCTGGGAGGCCTGGGGGTCCATCGTTACCCCTACTACCCTTTTCGCCCTGTGAGATATAAATATAACTTTCATGAGATTGTTTAGAATTCATTCGGAAAAATAATTTGTGATTTAGTATCAACGTGATTAATCAATGAAAAATGCTTTAAAAATAAAAGGGACACAGGGGATTTTTTAACAATTTTTCATTAAGAAAATAATTTATTATATTACAAACAGTTTTTTATACAAATTATCTATACTGATATTATAAAGAGGTAAGGTTTTTAACTTTGTTTGTTTATCTGTGGGATGAAGTAGGGAGTGTAACACCGGGATTTCGCATATTTTTTGTGCAGGACTAATTTGAGCGAAACCCTGCGCGGGATAAGTGAGTTTGAAAGGTTCCAAAATTCATACGTAAGCGTGAGCTACTCATAGTGCTGCCGCCTGCCGATATATAATTTGTAAAGTTAGATGCCACTTAAATGACGATGGAATAAATACTTTAACATTATTGCGTAGGTATTTTCAAACCAATGTGTAATGATTCCTCTTTCTTATATATTTTTGATTTGTAGTTTTTCAGTTATGCCCGATAAATTATCATTTGTTTATATATTTTTTTGCGAAATCTTATTTAGCATGTGGGATCTTCCAACTGCTTTGTGAATAAAAATTGTGGAATTACTATCTTTATCAGGAGGTAATCTTCAAAAACACTGATCAGATCATAAAAATTCATTCACCTACGGGAAGCTTCAACACGAGTGGGTGATATAGGCTATAATTTACGCGGATAAAGTCGCGGCAAAACAGCTAGTATTTTAAATAATGAGAACTATAAAAAAATATAGTAAATCATCTCGGGCGTCTTACTTCGTAATAACTGTGCAATACTGTTGGGAAGACTTATGTAGGTAAAGTATGCGCAACAAACTAAGCGTCTACGAAGCTAGATTTTTTTTAAACACAATATGGCCAGTCGGATACACGACACGGGGCCCAAGTGCTCTATATAGTTTACTAATCTTGCTCAAATTTATTTGATTGTTTTTTGTTTTTTTTTTCCAAAGGCTTAAACAAAAATAGTCTACTCTTTTCACCCATGATTCTAGTTAAATATTATGAGATAGTAATAATAAAATTATCACCAACGTTACCTTTTCTCCTTTATCGCCTTTCGAACCTGGTAGAGTTTGTCGACCTGAACATGTAAAATAATATCTACAATTAATTGAGTCGACGATAAATTCGCGGTTTATATATTTTTTACCAATGATAACTCTTACAATGCTATATCAAGTAGGTAAATTAATAATTTATGAATTAAAATACTCTTTATTAAAAAAATTAAATGTGGGAAACACCCTTAAATATTCCCAAAAAATATTTTAACTAATACTCAAGACGTCTTTTCAGTTCAGGAAATATGTTTATTTCATCCTGTGTACATAGACAGGCAGACAGGATGAAGTCGAATTTGAATCCGAAAGAAACTTCAAAGCAAACATTTAAGTATATAAATACATTTTTCATTAATTTGAATAATAACGATTAGGTGTGTCTTTTTTAGAATTACCTATTATTACCTAACCCGCAAGGAATCTAGTGCAGAGATATAAGGTATTTAATATAAAAAACATAATATTCCATACATATAACCTATCCGTATGCATAGAATATCGTGAAGTTTGAAATATTGAATACCTGATAATATACCAGAATAAAGTCCTGTTTACCAGTGGTTAAAAACTCAGGATCATCGGAACTGAATACTCCTCCAATGGATGCTGGACCTGGAGGGCCGGGTGAACCTCTTTCTCCTAAAAATAATATACAAAATAGTAATTCACAGGTGATGATGATGTATGATATAAAACCTATAAACAGATCGTCAGTATATGCTACGTTATGATTTTATTAGAGTTCATTTTTTTCTGGCCGTTTACTTTTTGTACTATTTGAGATAATAGAAATAAAGTCTACGTACCTTTTTCTCCCTTTTCGGCTGGTCGGCCATTAGCTCCTGGAATACCAGGACGGCCTTCTAAACCAGGTGTCCCTTGGTCTCCTTTCAATCCTCGCTCTCCTTGGGCTCCAGGATGACCCTAAAATACAATAAAATTTGATATCCAGGGGGAGGTGTAATAATTTCAGTCCCGAGAAAATTAAATAAAATAAATAAATAAATGTCTATGCTTTCGCATTATTAATATTTATTATTCTGCTAATATAAGAAGTCGGATAATAAATTTCATCCACTCACGCGGTCTCCTTTTGCACCATACTGTCCAGGTGGTCCCCGTTCACCCTTATGCCCGGGGAAGCCCCGTTCACCTTGTGGACCTACTGGACCAGGTTGGCCTGCATCGCCTTTTGGTCCCGGTGCACCAGGCCTTCCAATCGCCCCACCATATGAACCCAATATGGATTCCTATTTATAAAACGTTATTTTAATATTACCTTATTTTAATAACAGTTTATAATTATCAATGTACATAATTTAATTAAAAATACAATACATGCAATGTAAAAATTTCATTGTTACCGAACATAGTCTGTGACGTCATTTAAACGTGTCATTGAATCTTATATTATAAAAAAAATAATTTTAGTCAAAAGCAGTTGCCAATCGGATGCACCTATTATAACTAATCATCTGATTGAACTAGGGTCATAAATAACATTTTGACGTACAGGTTCCATAAGAAAGGAATTTCAAAAAATCAACGCCTATATACCCCTTATAGAGGTATATAATGTTTAAAAGTCACTTAATCTCAATATATAATAATAATTTTTGGTTTTTAAAGAACAAGTCGACATATCAAGATCGATTGTACGGAACGAAGATTGTGCCTCGAGTAATCTATTCTCCGCTACGAAAGTTTCCTGTGACATTTTGAATAAATTTCCTCTTATCGGTGCCGCGCTGATATAGATCTAGGACCGACAGTCACTACCACACTTATTTGTTAGGCAAAAGTAGTTTCGTTTCAAGCGAACTGTATCACAACGAAAGATTGACATGCGATTTTTGTTATTGACAAAGTAAAATAGGATGTAATCGCCTTTATATTTTACGAAAGAAATCCTGAAATAAAATATTGTTATTAGTGCTACGTCTGTTTATTTCAGTGAACTTAGTAAAGGAAAAATGTGCTTGTAGTAATTTTGATGTAACAAATTTTCTTATAAAGGCACCTAAATAATATGTTGTTGCAATGATATATTTAAGTGTCACCAAATAAGTGTTTGCTCAAAGGCAAAATTTATTTAGTCTTGTTAATAAATGTGATAAAGCTTAATGTCGGTAACTTACTACTATCACCATTCTGTGACCATCACCTACTATTTAAGTGTGTTTAGAGTACAAATATTCTGAATTAAATCACCATTCATCATTATCATCAACTGTTAATATTCCCGGGACGGTTCTGAGGCATTTCTCTTCATTACATATGATATTAAATAGAGAGAATCCATAGCCCACCTACCATGTGGGCCCTATTAGTATTCATGGATGTTTACTACTGAAGATACAGCCAAAATCAACAGTTTAACGTGCCTTCTAAAGCACGGAGGATCTGAAGATACAAAATATTGGTCACCCATCCTATAAACAATCCCTGCGAAAGTTGCTTAATATCCGCATCACACACTGAGTGCTCTAAATAGGTACTGCGCTATCACGCTGATCGATTCTAAAAATCATGCCATGGTATTTATTTATTTGGAAAAGATACACCAACAGTATCAAAGGTACATTGGAAATTATTCTTGGTTAAATTTAAATATTCTTATACATATACCCATTACCGGCATACACAACATTTACTAAAGGAATAATAATGTGTTTACAACATTAATTAATGAAGAGTATATAAATACAAAAGTTTTTAATATTTTTACATCATAATCCACACTCTGAGAACTTAATAAGTGGAGAACATTGCTTTTAAATTTAGGTACCGAGTCGTGGAAAATATCGATCGCTTTAGCTTTATTCACATTAAGAGAGTTATACTTCTCACAGCAACGAACAAGGGGAGCATTACGAACCACGTTTGTCCTGATTGTAGGTAAAGCTAAAGTTCTAATTATAAGCTGGCGAGGGAGACGGGAGGGAACATTTAGTGAGACAATTTCCACGAGATGGCTAAAATTTAGTGATCCATTGAGAAGTCTATGCAGAAACGATAGATCAAGGAAAGTTCGCCGCTGTTGTAGAACTAGATATCTAGTGAATGAGCGTTGAATGGCTTCAATGCGTTGAGATTGAATTGTATAAATGGGATTCCATATCACACTTGCATATTCCAGTATGCTCCTAACCAAAGGTTTGATACCTTTGGTTAGGTTAGGTTAGGCATGGTATGTGATGTACTCTAATATCAATTTGTTAACCACACCCCTCCGGTCTAGCCCGCGTGGACAAAGGGAAATAAGTTATTTTTCTCGCAGTAAAAAGTCGCATATGACATACCACAAATAAGAACCTTTTTCTTGGCATGAACCTCATACATTGTCCCACAAAAAGAGGTCCCATCCTTCACAAATTGTCAAAGTTTATGAAAGATTGGCCCCTCGGGCCGCATGATTAACCATTCAGATTATTTATAGTATTCATTGAAGTAATTATGCCAATTTTATGTACTTTATCATTAGCAGAAATTATAATGTAAAACAAACAAAAGATTGTTTATGAATGTACACAAAAAAACTTACCTTGTATATTGGTCTAGGCTTCCAATTTGACTACATATACAGAAACGGTAGCATGAAATTGACAAAATGGCGTTCATGTAATGACTTTTAGATATTTGTTAACAAAATTAGCAAACAATATTTTTGGCACTGATTAAAAACTCATTATAAAGCATTTTTAGTGATTATAGTTATTTTTTTTATGAGATAGGGGGCAGACGAGCAGACGGATCACCTGATGGTAAGTGATTACCGTCGCCCATAGACACCTGCAACACCAGAGGGGCTACAAGTGCGCTGCCGGCCTTTGAGGGATGAATCTGATCATAGGGAGGGAAGGGTTGAGGGGTAGAGGGAAGGGAATAGGGGGTTGGACCTCCGGTACCCTCACTCACACGACGAAACACAACGCAAGCGTTGCTTCACGTCGGTTTTCTGTGAGGCCGTGGTATCACTCCGGTCGATCCGGCCCATTCATGCCGAAGCGTGGCTCTCCCACGGGCGAAATTTGTAATATGTTAATATATAATAAATATTAGTTTGTTACATATAAATTAACATTTCGAAAAAAGTATGCGTTATATACATTCAAAATAGTAGTTACAGACAGTTATCTTGCACCAATTGTCAAAAAATCATTAAAATATTAGATAACCTATCTTATGGTAACATAAAAATCTCGTATATATCATAGAATATATAATTAGCCGAGAAAAGTTCGCAAAATATATTTTTACTATTGCAGTTTCAACAAATAAGAAAATAATTTCTGTTTCTGATATTCACTAACTACAATACAGCGCAATTTTTTCTGTAAAAAATTAAAGGAACAGATAAATACATACATCAAAATTACTGTAATCAGATGAGCCTGGTGGTCCCGGTGGACCAGGTGGACCTGGTGTACCAGGTCGCCCATCGACGCCCGCTTCCCCTTTCGGTCCCGAAAGTCCTTCTGGTCCACGTGGACCAGCGTCACCCCGTTCACCTTTTTCACCCCGTGGCCCCACCGAGCCTCTTTCACCAGGCATACCTGGTTGTCCCTGAAATAGTAGAAAATTTCAGAGTTTGTTTTTTTGTTTTTAATTCTCTAGATATTTGAGCGCGTAAAAAATCTATTCATAAGCTACCTATCATATTAAGTAATGTCCTTTGCTACGAAGCTAGTTACTTGTTCAAACTTACGTAAGTTAATATTTATTTTACACAAACATTTAAAAAACGAGAACATTTGCTTAATTTAATTAAAAATATAAAGTTAACTAACGTGCGTTTTATTTAATTAAATATGAATAATAAATATTATAATATGTATACGTAATAGTCTTTAAATATGAAATCGTAATAAACCATGGTATCGTTTAGTGGAGTAAAAGAAATGAAGATCAGAATTTATTTAATAAATATGAGTTTATTGACAAGTATGAGGTACATGTACTAACTAACCTTTGTGATTTTATATTTTCTGTATGGCATAAAACTAAAAGTTGATCGATTGGGATTTACAAAGAAAAAACTTCCCATCATGTATTATTAGGTTACGATTACCACTTTTCAACATTAGAAACGTTAACTATCAAAGTTTCAAATTAGTTTACCTTACTTTAATAATAGTAACATCGTTTAGAATTACAAAACGCTTATCCAAAAACCAAATTTTTATTAAAAAACTTTATCTTCATAATTAATTATTAGAACAAATTCGGCAGTCTTATCGCTTAAAAGCGATCTTTTCTGGTCAACCATTAGTTGGGATCTAATTAAGATATAAGGGTATTTAATCAAAATTACAGGCTGTACACTGGTAAATATACTCAAACAATTTAATAATAAAATATATCTATACACTTTGTCTAATAACAGATAATTTGAATGTACAATACAGAAATTAAAATAGATGTAACAAAATTAGTATAAAATTTATTTGTGGTTCTACTCACAGTAATGCCTGGCGGACCAGTGCGGCCGTCTGCGCCCATCAAACCAGGCGGGCCAGGTGGCCCCTGTAGTTCTGGCGCTGATTGGAGAAGCGACAGTATTGTGCTTGAGTTGCAACCGCATTGCCCCAATGAGGCGTAATTCTCGCCGAAAATTTGCTACAAGAAAAAAATGTAGTTACATTACTCTAGTTAAGTCCAATTTTGAGCTTGAATTATAATTAATTTGCTCTGAAATAAATTTGCTCTCTCACAGATCTCAATTTATTTATCTACGATAACATCGCATATTATTAATATTGAACCCACATTTCATATTTATAGTTTTGATGGGATATAATATACATTGAAACGTTGTTGAATAACAAAATTAGGCAAAGATATTTAGTAAATATAAGTAGGGGGTAACCAAATATGGAATAGGATCACTAGTATTCCATTTCCATATTATGGAACGCTGAAATGATTTCCTGAATTATTCATAAAAATGTAATACACATTAGAATAGCCAAGCTGATCCACAAATAGATCACGTGTTACTAGGACTTATTTATAAATTCCCCATTAAAATAAATTATTAGGAATTAATTTCAATATTGCATATTTAGGGATATTATTCAATATTTGGTTCCTTTCCTCTTACTAAATTTTATTTATATAAATCATTTCATCAGTTAGTGGCACATCAAACTGACAGCTTACTTAAACGGCGACATAAAAATTATTGCCACAGTTTACTTTTACGACTTGCAGGATGGGAACCAGCTGACGCATAATATATTTTGTCTTTAGGCGTTGCGTAAACGTTGACATTCTTTTTATCCACTTCACAAACCTATCACCAATCAAATAGTGTTCCATGTAAGTAAATGAAAATTAAAAGACGTCGGTTGAAAATAATAATACGTAACTGCAACTGTTAAAAGATTATCAGTGATCATTTGGTAGCAAAGGGCGATTAGGTCCCTTCAGCCACTAGCCATTTTCGTTTCCCGTGACAGCGTACAAAAAGTTTCTTCCGTTTGCACATCGCCTTAGTTTCCAGGAAAGATGAATAATGTATAAATCTACGTAGTATCGACTGTATTTTCAACGATGTGATTTTAGTAAGTTAGAAAATTTTCTTAAAATATATTTATAACTGACCTTTATAGCCGGTTTCTGGAGTTCCAATGAAAAGAATAACAAAAAATAGAAAGTAATCATTTACAATATCCTGTTAATTTAATGTTGTACTTAGAACTTATACGGTAGTTACAATTGGGATCCACGGAGATTCGTATCGAAAACAGAATTTTGAGCTATATTATATTTATATCAACCTCCTTCAAAAAATATTAAGGTGATATTGATTCGAAATTTAATAATGAAAAAAACACGACTGCGTGAAAAACAACTGAAAGGGCTGGAACTAAATAAAAAAGAAAAGTATGTACAAAGAGAGACTGATTTGACTTATTATTCAATTTCGTGCCTCCGACTGCATGTTATCTATGACAATGCATATTTTTTCATATTAATCCAACCTTCTCAGTTAGTTGTTTTTAACGCAGGCAGGATTTTGTTGTTTTTTTTTATTATAATTTTATTTATGTCTTTTTAGTTAGACAAAACAAAGTCCATATTTTTAATATTTCTCATTGTTTTATTTTTGTTAGTATTACGGTAATGACAATCACGATATACCTTTTTGGAGTCCTTGTATTGAGCTCTTTAATTTGATAGACGTATGTTAGTATTTAAAAGAATCAAGTATTTATCATTACATATAATGGCATCGCACAGTCGCCATTTTGATTTTTTTTAATGCTACTTATCTAAGAACACTTGGGCTACTAAGAAAAATCTAACGATACCTCAATTATCTAAATCCGTTCAGCGGTTCCGAAGATATCAGGTAATAAAGAATATTATACACATATTACATTGTATTTAAAATAACCACCATACATCTGCTTCAAACTATAACGTTCCCGATAAATACAATAATGACCGCAGGAACGTATAAATAATGTATGCGATAAGAAAGCGCAATCTACCATGAATTGTGTTGCAAGTGACCGCTACGTCGAGATGCAAAAAGAGGAGAAAAGGACTTCAATAGGCTATTCAAGTTCAGCTTTGATACGACGCATATTGTGGTCGGTGAAATATACAGAGATAGCTCGGCGTTGTCTGTGATTGGTACAATTGATGAGAGACAGCGAGACAAAATATTTTTGATTACTAAACGATTATTTAAAGATTATTACTTCCCATATAACAAACATGGTTGACAGCACAGCTGTCCAGCATAACCGTATTAACTGTTAGAGCGATCAAGGAGTCCCGATTAAGAAAAATATACGTTGCAAAGTCTCGTGTTGAGTGTCGCTTTCCGCGTTCTTTCAGGTAATTCTACAAAACTTCATAAAGTTTTCAGAAATAAATGAATTGTGAGTTTTATTGATATTGGTATTGGTTAACGTTAAATGTATTGGATTATGATAAATTGTAACGTGTCTGGCACCTGAGATGGTTGAATTTTTCGAAGTAATTTCTATAAAATAATTACAATATATATTTACAATATATATGTATTTATAATATTTGTTAAAATTTGCTCTCATAATATTAATACATATTTTAAAGAAACATAATAAAATTACGGGTATATTAAACGGGATAGTCCCCCCAGTGAAGTTTAGATACATTTACTTCCATAAAAAAAACAGTGATTCTAAGCATTAAAAACTTAAAATAAAACATTATAAAGCCAAAGTAGCGAAAAATACTGGAAATCACTCATGACTACGATTAGACCCTTAAAATTTCTTTATCTCTTATCACTTGGACTCCAATCGAAACAGGGTTGTTTAGAGGGAGGCAGGTGATGGCCGCAGGTTAAATGAAAGTCCTGTGGTCCAGACTTTGCCAGGGTATGCGGGTCTGTTCTACTTAACTCGTACACTCGGTGCACATTCTATTTAATTTATTGTTTGTTTTTATCTTGTTGTTACTAGAAAATAATGAGGCAAATTAAAAACAAATACCACTTCATTTGAATTAATGTTTGAATATTTTAAACCCATATTGATACTTGGTACTCGAAACAAAATAATGCCCACACAAAGTCAAGTTCGAAGAAGAAACTGGAGAATCAATAACACTATTTTCAAAGTAATACTTAAACCATAGTACATCTTAGACAAGAAAATAAATGTGATTAAAAAATCATGTTCCCCCTCATTTAAAAAAGTTAATGATTCGAAATTCAATAAAAACTCTTTTGATAATATAGATGGTTATGCTACTCACATCGTCTCCAGATCCAGATATTTCAGCAATAGCTGATATTCCAGGTGGTCCGGGCGGGCCGGGGGGACCTGGTGGTCCTGGTGGGCCCCTCACTGTTTCCCCTGGTGGGCCCTGTCAAGTATTATTACCAGCTAGATAAAGTAGTAAGTCTTTAAACTACAATGTGGAATAACTAAGGGTTTTTATGCTATTCTCTAATGTAACCTGAGATATATAATATTACATAACTGGCGGTAGTTTTTTAAATGTGTTCTAATAAACAAAACTGTCACAATAAATATTTTGTAAGTATGATAAATAAAAACTTAACATTAATATTCACACAAACAGTTTTTTTTTTATCATGAAAAGTTTTTCTTTTACAAAGTCTCCATTTTTTTTTAAACGTGTTGCAGCTCGAAGTATCATGAAACGGTGTGAGTATAATTTCATGTGGTACTCATTATCGGCAAACACTTCTGTTTATGTTGTCATGTTCTGTATAATATGAGCAGCTAGAATATCTGTTTATATAGGAAAGAAAAAGTAATTATGTAAGTTAATATTGATAAAAGTTTTTTAACAGTTCATGTATAAAAGTTGATAAATATCGAACTTCTAAAATTACCAAAAAATATTCCTGATTATATAAAATATACATAAAAGTCCTTTTAGAGTATCTATGTAAAGTACCTACATATATAAAAACTATATCCAATTATAGATGAATTCATAAAAGACAGTAAATATATAAGTAAGCAATGAAAAATTACTTAAGTATGTACATCATAATATCAATGGTTATATCTATATTAGGGACAATAATAGATGGAATTTTAATAAAACAGTAACTTCAATATAAAATTAATTTCTCACAGTCAATAGGAGAGCGGCGGAGTGCCACTATCAGTGCTGTGTTAAGAGCACTCTAATAGCTCTATATCACGATATCAATGGTTTTATTCTATTTACACTAACCGATTTAGACCTGTGATATGTCTTAATTTCTTTTTCTATCATTATTTTTTATATTTCGGTAATTATATATAATTTAAAATGACAAAAAAATATTTGTATAGACATACTTTACGGTAGTAGTTAACTATGGTTAATTTACAGTATTACAATGGACTTCAACAAATTTATACGTGAATGTCAAATATATTTATCATCGATTATTATATTTTTGTACATATTTTGTAAGGTAGTCTTTTAACAAAAGGGATTAACGGTCAAATGGGGTTCGCAGAATAGGGTAGACAGAATCAAATATTAATTTTCCAGATGTTGGAATGCATATATGCAATGACGATTTTTGTTTAGGGTCATAAACAAAAATATATTATTTTTAAAATTGATAATATTTTACAAAAAAAAAAAAATACTAGAAAGCAAAGTTTGCGAAGTCTAATTAAAATTATTTTTTACCAATTACTTTACATAAAATTGTCTAACATTTGAATTCCCTTTTTCTTGTTGTTTTACGAATGCATGTATGAATGAACAATTTTTTTCATTTAACAGAATCGGTGGCGTATCTTGATGTTTAAATAGGATTTTGAGGCGGACGATACACCGATAAATCGAATGGTTGAACAATACTCGAGCGTCCTTTGTGTGAAAACTGCGAGTTATGCGTTAGCTTTCACTCTGTTGTTTTCGATTGCGGTGCCATGGATATTAGCACAACATGCGAGCAAAATTCCTGTGCTTTACCTTTTTAATATTACGTTTGGAGAACTAACTTAAAATATATTATGTTTTAAACAATCTCCAGCAAAGAAAATTAAAAAAAAAGAGATAGAATAATACTAACTGGTTCATTAAATTAATAATATCTGATTATAGAATGGTTATAAAGTTTTACCCTTGGACCTCGATCTCCTTTTTCACCTCCTCTAAAACGAAGTGGATATCCTGAAAATAAAACTTTGTTTAGTAAATATAATTTTTGTGTATGTAATTTATACGGGCTGGGACGATAAAAATATAATATCAGTGGGCTAATTATCTAATATCAACGTCTATTACAATCCTTTTCAAAGATATAGCATTGGAATTTATAACGTTCACAGTGGCATTCGCTTTTGAGATCAATGATGATTTGAATTAGTGATAAACATAATAAAACTTTAGTTTAACCCGTTAACCCTTTTCAGTTACTATTTAACCATTGCATCTAAGATTTTTCAATAGCTTCAAATATATTATGCGTCTAACACTTGCCTTAGACAATTCCAATGGAAGTCAAATAACTGATGACGTTCATTGAATATTGCCACGTTGCATAACGCGATCGCTGAAAGCTGTAGAAATTATTTTTCAAAATTCCAACTGAAAGGGACTGTGGTATATTTTTAAATTAGACAGCTCTGGTTTTGAGACCACAAGAACTTTGGCATCTCAAAACGTGGAAAACTAAATACTAAGGCCAAAAAAGATGATCGCAGAGTTAAGATTATATCTGCAGCCGATAAACAGGGTTTTTAAGTACGAGTGACCAAGATTAAACTAGAAGGTTGGCCTCTCTAACGTTTCTTGATTTTGTGAGGAGAAACTGCAAATCACTAATACATCCATAATTCTAGCTGGATTTTATTTATTATGCAATCAACTCTATGACATTTAGGTAGCGTCGATGACATGTGTAATTCCGAGATGAGGTGGCTTATTGATCTGTTGACGTTTAACAAAATTCTTAAACGCTAGTTGGAATTATTTTTAACTTTCTATTTTCTGTTAGTTTTACGTGATAAAACAATATCGACAGATAGTAGGGTAACTGATGTTGTCTCTAGGGTAGTGCATTGATAGTCCTAGATATTATGTAATCCCGGGGCGACATGAATAGGGTTGTCGAGTTTATAGTTTTATTGATATTTGGTATATTTTTTTCTTGAATGCTTGCCCTTTTTAAACTATATTGTTGTCGCTTCTACCATGCATCGGAAATCCAGAACAAAGATCAACAGCTCGACAAAAGATCAACAATTTGACATTTGAAAGGTATTCACGAACATTACGTTACCACTATTTAACGTGATAGCAATGGTGCTTTTTAATAGCCTTTTTAAGGATATTGAATAACATTAATGGGAATTCTTTAATGCAAGTGTTAGATGCTCAAAAGTAATCGATAAATATCAAAGGAATGAGTAGAACTGCTATATTATTGAAAGGGATTACGATAAATTTATAATTTAGGCATTTAGCCCACAGGCTGTACGACTAAGGCAGGATACTGTCGTAAATAACGACACATGTCACCTTGGGTCTGACCTTGTCTCGCTTCTTAATTCTGCTGTTGTCAGGGTTGACTACGAAATCTTAATCTTTATAAACCAGGAAGATTTTACGAAGAAAGTATTTAAATTAAAAGAATCAAATGCTTTGCATAACAACTGAAACTTGTGCCATTCGGTTGTTATTGTCTACGTATGTAATGAATCTGGCATGAATGATTGAAATGATCGTTACCGTCTGGTGGTGGAGGCAAGAACGGAGGAGGCATTGTTCCATATCGTTCTGATCCTTCTGCGTCCCCTTCTTCTTGATCAACCTGTTATTATGACACAGACTATTAAGGTAAGAGTAATTGTGAGTGAAAAAAAGGCCCGCGAATATGATACGTTACTTATATTAATTGTTTAGGTTACTGAATGTGTATATGTAAACAATTAAGACATATACCAAACTTGATTTTGTAATAAAAGTAAATTAAGCCACTTATTAAATAATAATCATTTCATGGTTCTTTGTTATTAAAAAAACAGAAAAGAGATTAGCGAAGGTTTGGAAGTTCAAATCAAGAACATTAATTACTTTTTCTATTAAACTTATGGCCACTTTTACGACTATAGTTATGTTCTAACTAATATAAATATTTAAAAGGTTTTAGTACTACTTGTTAGTTGTGTTATTTGATTATTTATCCTTCATATGATAATAAATATAATAAGCGATTTTTTTACTCAAATGTGACATCCCTAGCTGCATATATCTACCTGACAATTAATTACCTAGGAGAGCAGGACGCAACTTTAAATGGATATGTTGGTATATACATAAAATTAGCTTATTTACTTGCTTTAGATACTTGTACAACTGAGATTTCTCTTTTGAATTAATGTGAATAGCTTAGTCGAGATAAACAGAGTTTCAGATTATTAAATGAAAGCCAACTACCGTGTATCTATGTAACGTATATAGGGTATACGTGATAACTTGTACGGGAATATACACGTAGGCTAGAATAACGAACCCATTTGGATAGTAATAAAATATTAAACAACATTCTACAACTTTGGTATCTCTCAAATATTAATTTGAAATTAAATTGAATTTGAATTTGGATATAGTGATAGTAACATAGAATAGGTTACTGATTTAAAGTAATAAATCCCGAGAATTAATTTATGGATTGAGATACTATTTTACGTTTAAATTTCGACTGTATTTACGAAATCTATAAAATTTCTTTTTTCAGTTAAATAAGTTAAAGTTGGCAATTCAAACACTGCAACTGCGTGCGTAAAGATGCGGTCTTAATAAAAACGGATTTCATGTCCAAAGTATATTAATTAAAGTATGTGTGTAAATCCATATTCTTTATTAACTTTACCTACGCATTAAAGTTAATAAAGAATATGGATTTTATTAATGTGGGGATGCCTTTTTCGAATTGTTTAGTGAGAAATAGAAAATAATAATAAAAGATAATCAATAATATGAAAATGTAAAAACTACGTTTTTAGTCACATGAGGAATATTTTTCCGCTTATATTAAGGCTCCTGCCTTATGTATGCAATTGGGAATTCCGCCAGTTAGTTTATTTGCATTCTGACTTGCAACGCAATGTTTGTTCGTTAAACTATCAGAGGTTTGGGAGATCGTAATGATCAACGAGCAAGTTCATGTGTGGCCGTAAATTAGAATGTCAATCAATTACAAGCACAATTTTATTTTCATTATAACGCGAGGCTTGTCGAGTTATGGCAACAATTAGCAGATGAGAAAAATAAAAGTATAGAGTTCATCTACCACGTGGGCATAATACTGATTTATTGGTGCTAACGTTTTATAATGCAGCCAGGTTTTAAAGGCCAGGTTTCAAAACTCGATGAAACGTTTTCTTTTGTAAAATATTGAATCGCTGAATTACATTATTCAAATATATTATTATTCTTTTATACTTATTATACTTTTCAATAACCGTTTTGATAATATGCAAGTGGACACATGTACTCTATTCTGACTCAAAGTCAGTCTGTTCACGTGGCTGATACGCATCTAATTTATGTTGTATTCTGTTCACTATTATTCTTGTAAAGATTTTATAAATGTGTGACAGAAGACTAATAGGTCTATAGTTATCCAACTTCCTTATGTCTCCTTTTTTGAAGTGATAACAGCATTGTGCTATTTCTCTGGTGCAACAATTTTGACAAGGCACTTGGTAAATAAAATTCTAGTGCTCCCTTAAGTTCTTTGTTTGTACTTTTGAGCATTTCTGGTAATATGTCACCTTCTCCAGGGGATCTACGGTTTTTAAGTGCAGAAGTGCTAATTTATTTTTTTGTCGGGTAGTGTCAGGTGAATCTTCCGATCCCATATTTGTTGCCATATTCTACGTCGTTCTCGTCTAGGGTTGGGTCTTTTACTCTCGTAGAGTTCCTCATAGTGCTGTCGCGCGACATTCAGCAGTTAAATATTTTCCGACTGCTATTCCATTCTATAGCTTGTCCTATGAGATGTTCTTCATAATGTCTCAGATATTTACGAATACTATTCCGTATCCTTTTTTGTAGCTGAGTAACGGCTCTTGGATAGTTATCTTTCCGGCATAGCATTTCGTCTCTTTGCTCGATTAACTTTTAAGTTTCGACTTTTAACTTTTGCTGTTATCCGGAGCTTTTACAGGAAATATTGATGCCATCGCTGACTTCATGACTGAGATCTGCAAAGTGTTGAATGAGATCTGCAATTAGTCTAAATCCTCTTTATTCTTTAGGTGATTCTTAATATAGTTCAATTAATGGTCTTGGTTGAGTGTGTGATCACTGCCAGTTTGGAACCTACATTTTAGACCTCCACAGGCCCTGAAAAGATTGAATTTTGAACCTCTTCTTTTCTGTTGATCACAATGTAATCATACTCGGTTTTGGGTATACCATTTCGGTGTACACAAAAAAGAGAACTGATTAGTGAATTTATAAAAGAATTGCAAATAGTCTTCTATCACTTTTGAAAAGGCTTGACTCTTAAATCACTTAGGTTGTATGATATAAGGCTTAAAATGAAAACAAAAACAATTAAATGAACTCAAATTATAAATTTGTAGTAGTCGCTTCTATTTTCTATTAATATCACAGTAGTTTATCGACACAGATTATTTCTTGGACGTTTTAATTAATAAGCTCTTTTTCATTTTAAATGTATATGCCACACTGAGCTAGATACGAATAAAGAAATATCGAAATTTTAAATGAAGTTGTTACAATTTTATTTCTGGCACGTTAACTGAAGTGAATTGTCTCGTTTATCTTGCAAAAACTCATGGCATAGGCTCGGTCAGTGACCCGTTTTTCAGTTAATCGCTTTTGATAACTCTGATAGTGGTAATAATGCACCTAACGACTCTTTGTGTTCATTGAAGAGCGGTTAATGCTCTTATTGTTGGAATCCGAGAATAGTGTATTCTCTGATGTCAAGTGATCTTAGTATTAGATCGTTTGTAACTATTTCTGCGAATTGGGAAACAAAATAATTTTTGGAGTCCAAACTTTTGATTAAATGATCATGTAAAATACTCATATAGATTTATTAGTAGGTATAAGAATTCATTATTTTTGTATTGAAAACTAATTTGCGTTTAAGTTATATTTTAATCTAGTATTAACTTAATCAATTTGTATTATTAAGGAAAAACATATCAACAAGGACTGAAACAAACATTACAGATAGTGATGTTAGTAATAACGTCACAAGTAAGTTAGTGTCAAAGCGTTGTTAGTTATTGAACGTAATGAAATGGAAAACAAATTAATCACCAATAAATTGTCAATGTCAATCTCGTCACCGCCACTGCCTTTACCCATTTCCTGTCAAAATGTTAAAATTTAATTTTAGAACGTTTCATCGTCCTTTTTTCACTGACTGGCAGCAATGACAGGTATTTAAAATAAAAAGTTTGATTCTACAAAAAAAAAAAGGTATGATTGGCAATATCCAAATAAAGTATTACATTTTCTTTTTTAAAATTCAAAACATCACGATGTTTTTTATTTTTAAATTCATCTTTAAATTAAACATATTTTTGTAAAAAGGAACAAAAGTTTACTTATCAAAAAAGTATTTATGCTAAATTTTGTCTTTTAATCCTTTTTCTACGCGAACTTGCGAACAATAATTCCATTTTTAAATTAAGTGAAATAGTTGTTACCTCGAACGTGTTGACACATTGCACCTCTGCCTGGGACGGTGAACCATACAGCTTCAGTTCTTGAAACGCACCCTGTACCAATATTAACATTACGACGTGTCTTATCGCTACCATATTTAGCTGCTCATTTATCGACCACTTATTCTGTTTTAAAATGTTCAGTAATATTTCACTTGGTTTTTTGTTACGGTGAATCGTAAGAAAAAAAAAAAACAGTAATTGAAATAAATATAAAATAAAAACAGACGTGCACCCGTCTTCAGATGAGCAGACGCATCGGTGCACTAAATTTAGAACCGGCAAGCCTAAAGGATAGCTTTCTTGACCACATTTATTAGATACCTGAAGTATATTGAAATTCTTCCAGAAGAAGGTTCCACTTTCTTTGGTTAACGTGATAGGCGGAAAGGAATTTATTTAATCCATCACGTTTAACCCTTTTCGAACGATATTGATGAACTTTAAATAATTACTTTGGGATCCGTTTCTAATTACCTACAGTGATTTGTATTATTATTTTTTTTAATATAACCAGTCACCTTTTCATTTATGGTTTCTCTTCTTTATACACAACTTTTGAAAGGGTTGAAGTATATAAAATTATAAAGTTAAGACTCTCAAATCTACTCTTTCGTGCAGAAAAAGCAATTATTTAAATATAAGTAATAATTTGACCAATAGATGAGAATTCAAATGATGTAAGAACTGTTAATGACTAGAATTAGCACTAAACTAATTAGTTTTACTCCACTATAGCATAGTACAAATATATAAGCAGGTGCACTCGAGACCCGAGCGAAAGATAATAGCCTAAACATGTAGGGCTGTCGCTTATAAGTTATTCAATCGTCAGAAATGCATGGTCAATCAATCTGTAAATATAGTTTCCCCCAGTATGGTAAGCTTCTGGGAACTATAATACAACGTTTTACTGGTTTTTTAATATATAATAATATATTTCATACCTACGTCATGTCATCAATTTAGTGTATTGTAGAATTAAAACGTGGTTTTAATGAATTATGTATTTAGTCATTTTTTTCCAAATGATCAGGCTACGAACAAAATAAGATAATGCCGATCTTAATTTTTAATAATCTTGTGCTTTGTACAAACAGTTTCTATAAATTGGCCATATTTTTTTATATTACATTGTCTAATACGCAATTCAATATTTATTTCAATTTGGCAGTATTCGGGCATAGAGATTTAACAAATTAAACTACAAATTGATATCTGGTAAATAAAATCTTCAGCAGAAATAATTCATAAACACTTTCGATGGGTAAAAACTACACAATATTATAATTACTAATGATTTTATAATAAATTGCCCGAATACCTAAAGAACGAAATACCATATACTTGATTTATAAAATGTGAAATACCATATACTCGATTCATAAATGCAATATTTTGGTTTAGTTTTCAAAGCCATCTTGTTTACGTCCAGAAATTTCATAACGAGCGGCAATACAGCGACGCAGAATATACACAAGCACGGCGTACTAGCCACGACTGACAAGTTGCCACTCGTGCCTTGAACTCCTATAACTTAGATAATTTTGTAAGTGTGTGCGTGCGACGACGCATACGTACGGGCGCACTCATATACAAACGATTTTCGTTGCGTATGTATGAAGAGCACTTACTCTTATACTTTGACTATAGTAGATCGTCTATCGATAATGGTACAACAAGGGGTCCGATACAAGGATGGATAAATAATTCAATTCTTTTTAAATTTCGATTTCGATTAGATATTGTTTTGACAAATAGACAAACGATAAATGTATTATTAAATTACAAAGTACCCATAGTGACTTCCCAGGTTCATTATTGTTATAATTTACCTGGAAAATCACTATGGGAAGTTTTATTTCTTCCCCTGACATTGTTTCGGATTAAAGTCTACGCCAAGACAAATAAAACGAGCTTAAACTCGATAGGGTTGCCTCGTTTAATTATAGAGGTCCCTTAGCTACCTTCTGGCTACATCAGCAGCTCGATGCCAACCCTTATTTATAACGCATTGGAAATCTATCGGACGAACGCTAGATTTATTTTCAAAACAACATACTTCTCGATTTGTTTTCATGTAATAAAGTGTATCAACCTTTTAGCATATAATATAAAACATAAATTAAAAGTGTATAGTTGTTTTATTATAATGTTTTTATGTCAATATGTTTGCAAAATTATAATATTGTTCCCATAAAAAGAATCCCATGTTTATAAAGCCGCGGCCGATTTTGCGTCAACGACTAATATATATCAGAATTTCTAATCAAGTTGCGAAGCAGTTTCATAGCGAATCCTCTGACAGACAGACGAGATATGTATGACGGATACATTAGGATAAATATCCCATCATTTCCATTTGGGGCATCGAACACCAAAATAAAAACAACGTAAATAGTTCTGACCTAAATAGTTCCCGTGGCGTATATACTAAAGATTCAAGATTCATTAAAGTGTAATGGCCAAGAACCACTTTACATCGTGAACCAACGCTTGACAAAGCACTAAGTTCAATTTAAAGGAAACTAGAACGCATATAAGTGGAGATATTCTGTTCGTTGCAACAAATAAAATGTTTCGTTTTCAATCTCAGACGTCGCTTTTATTGTTAGAGTTTATTGGAAATCTTGTAATATTAATCAATATCTTAAATTAGACTAGTGACATTTAAATGTAGTGACATGATTCTACCTTTCAAAATAATAGCTGACTTTGAAACTGACGATAAGGAGATATTAATGAAAAAAAGTAGTACTTGAAATTCAAATAGTTATGAACCAAATCATCAACGACGTTCTATTTTCTTTTTGATATAATAAGATTTACTTATTATTTAAATCATGAATATAATAATCACCATAATTTAGCTCCTTATAATATCTACGCTTTTGACGTCATTATTTCGTCACAATATGTTTTGAGTATCGTGCCGTCATCTAGAGGTAAATATTGAAGTTGACATATTGAAATTAAAACCACCATAACTTCAAATACATTAATTATTGGGAGCAATATTAGCGGAAATTAAAAATTCATTCTAAACAAAACTTAAACGGAATTACCAATTTACATGAAATTTATTTTATTTATTCAATAAAACTGAACAGATATGCATATATAAACCACACGGAGAGAAATATAAACAGAGTTATTATGAGTTTTTTCTTTATTAATATTACCAGCTGACCCGAGTTTTAAAAAAACACATCTTATATATAAACTGACTCATGAATCGTGGAAAACATAAAAAATAGAATCATCCAATTTGGTGCAGTCGGAACTGTAATTCGGAAGTTATGTGCATACATACGTTTCGGAGATTAATTTTTATTCATCGATATTTAATAGCTCGCCCGGACATTTTTTTATTTTTCAATAACTCAATAGTTATGTTTTTTTGACATAGTGTAAAAGGCAATTTTGATCTACATTACATGCATAACATATCTAACTTATTTATTTAAATAAGGATTAATACTGTATTGTTGAAAATAGGTTCGTAAATAACCCAATATTTTACTGTTTTAAGTATACATTAAAAATGGTTATTGTGGGCTATCGTTGCAATATAGACATATACCACCGCGGACTTTTTTTTAGATCTATTAAAGAGGTATAATTCCACCACACAATGCCTTGTAATAACTCAAAGTTTTTGGCGGCGTTTTTGAGGAAAGCTTACGATTGGCTTTATTTTTTCCGACATATTGAACTAATATCGTTGTTATATCGTCAGTTTATACAAAACCTAAACTTACTATACACTACCACCTTCCTCAAGAATTACTCTATCTATTGTTGAAAACCGCATGAAAATCCGTCGAGTACTTTTCGAGTTTATCGTGAACAGACAGGCAGAAGCGGCGGGGAACTTCGTTTTATAATATGTAGTGATAAGGTGTGTTCATATCTTGTAGTTGATAGTCGAAAGATCTGTCAGTGTCGAAGAGGCCTCTTAGATGAAATTAAAAATCGCCCCTCAAAGACTCTACACAACGCCTCCATTTTTCTTCTGTTTATTGCCCCCCTTTAGACCTGCAGCGCCCACAAGGGGTATTACCCACTAGATCCTACTACTAGTAGATCCTATAGAATATTTAAAACAACGAATACAGTAATTTGATACAAGATTATAACGTTATAATACCTCTAGTGCTATTCTGTTCAAAATAGATCGCGTCGAACACAGAACTGTCATAACATTTGATATTCAATCAAATGAAACCACCTTTTAAAATAGGTTTTATTTGATGTAACTTTAATTTCGTTGATAACTCTGCGTTCGACGCTATATTTGTAAAATTGCTGAGAGGCTTACCACTCAGCTTTAGGTCTCCGGACTGTATCCGAGCATTACACCATAAAGGGAGGTTGATGGTTTTAGTGGGTGTGTCTCTGTTCTTTGACTAGCTCCTCCGGGTGGATTAGCAAAGGAAATTCCCATATTACCTTGATGACCCGTGCCGTTAAAGGCGTAGTACGCGGTAACGCATTTCCCTTCATTTAAAAGAATATCAGTGCACACAAGAAAAGTGTCATTTGATGTAGATAAAACATCACTCAAGCATAATATCTCACTCTCGACCCGTTTCTCGAATCTCGATTATCTAGAATTCGTATTGCTGCTATTCGCATGCAGAAATTGAATTTTAGTTACACGTAGGAACTGACGTGGAAGCCACTCGACCAAGGAGATCGTTTTTATTCCATACGTAAATAGACACAACAGAGGGCTGTATTTTATAAATATATTACCTGTGTAAGGTCCAGTATATGTAAACTACAGTATGTATAACTGTCTAGGCATACGTAAAGCAGGTAGCTTCAAGAGGCTATTATTATTCAACGGCACTTGGAACGATACTCGCGTAACCTAAGGTTAACTATTTAACATAATTGTATTCTGGCTTTTTACGTGTTCTCGGCCCAAAAGTCATTGGCGTGAATACACAATGTTATCCCAATCTTTTGTTATCTCATACAGGTTGAATTTTTAGGTAGGTAACATTGAAAAATGTTAAGTTTTATCATAAACAGATTTTGAGCCTATTTTGTTTTGTTACATAGGT